AGGACATCGTCCCAGTTTTTCCTGGTCCAGGTCTCATCACCCAGGAACACTCCGAGGTACTTTAGGCCACCCTTCCTCCAGACAAGACCACCGGGGAGCCTGAGCCAATCCCCCAGCCTCTCCCCCACCATCACAGCCTCACTCTTCCCCCAGTTCACCTTTGCAGAGGAGATAAAACCAAAATTTGTGACTGTATCTGTTAAAATGTCAATGTCTCTCTGTGTGTTAGTTAAAACAATGAGGTCATCAGCGTACACAGATAATTTAATAGAAACGTCACAATGAGGGAAGCGAACACCATGGAGGTTGTTCCTTAGTTTGTTCAGCAGAGGCTCGATGGCTACAGAGTAGAGCATCCCAGAGAGAGAGCAACCCTGCCTTACCCCCCTCTGAATGCTAAAAGGAGCACTCAGACCTCCGTTTATTTTCAGCACACTCGCAATGTCACTATAGAGAACCCGTATCTTGGCTATAAAGCCCGGGTTGAACCCAAAGGCAGCCAGAGTCTGCCATAAGTACTGGTGTTCAACCCGGTCAAAAGCCTTTTCCTGGTCTATGGAAATAAGACCAGTGTCTACAGCCAATGAGCTGGAGAGTTCCAAAACATCACGAATTAAAGTGACATTGTCACTTATGAGCCTGCTGGGCACACAGTAAGTCTGGTTGGGGTGGATGATGGACACCATCACCTCCCTCATTCTCAGGGCCAGAGCTTTGGACAGGATTTTATAATCCGTGCACAGCAGAGACACCGGCCTCCAGTTTTTCAGGTCTTGTAGGTCTCCCTTTTTAGGCAGCAGAGTTATCACGGCCCTCCTGCAGCTCAGAGGCAGTTTTTTGTTTTTCAAACTGTTTGTCAGTACCTCGAGCAGGTCTGGCCCTATGTCGGTCCAGAAGGACTTGTAAAAATCAACATGGAGGCCGTCTATCCCCGGAGCTCTGCCGCTCTGCAGGCTCATCAGGGCCGAGGTCAGCTCCTGAAGAGTCAGGTCTGCCTCTAGTTTGTGGTTTTTCTCGGTGCTTACCTTAGGGAGACCACTGAGGAAGCTGCTGTGCACATCTGGATTTGGTGTCCATTCACTCTTAAACAGGTCTTTGTAGAAACCGGCAGCACACTTACTGATCTCAGATGAGTCTGAGATCTCAGAGCCGCTGTCTGTACGTAAAGAGTGAGTGATTTTCTGTTGTCCATTTTTCTGCTCCAACCCAAAGAAAAACTGAGAGGGAGCATCCATCGCTGAGATGTTCAGGAACCGAGACCTGACCAGAGCTCCCTGTGCTGTAACACCCAGCAGGTTGGCTATAGACGCCTTTTTGGATTTGAGGGAGTCTAAAAGCCCTCGATCTCCTGTAGACTCTGCTAAAGATTGCAGCTCTACTACCTCGGTCTCCAGGTCTCTCATAGACCGGGTTATGTCTCTAGTGACATTACGAGTGTGCTGTTGGCAAAGCTGCTTAATTTGGGCTTTGCCAAAATCCCACCACTGCTGAATACAGCTGAAGGCAGGTTTGCTCTCCCTGTAGGATGCCCAAAAATACTTAAAAGCAGTTTTAAAACCTGGTCATTTAAAAGGCTGGTGTTAAAATGCCAATAGGCGCTTTTAAAATGTACATTTCTGATAAAAACAGAGCAGGAGAGGAGACAGTGATCAGTAAAAACAACAGGCTGAATGTGACATCTTTTAAAAATGTTCACATGGTGATTAAAACAATAAAAACGGTCCATTCTGGCCAGAGATAAAACATTTGCTCGTGAGTGACTCCAGGTGTACTGCCTATAGTCTCTGTTAAAAACCCTCCAGACATCAGACAGCTCATGTGTATCAATGAGCTGCCTGATTCTGTGGGACGAGGCAGGATGAGGCTCAGGATGATTCCTGTCCAGGTTGTGATCAACTGTACAGTTAAAATCACCCCCAAAAAACATAAAATCATCACTATTAAGAGTTCTAAAAGTATCAGATAAAATGTTCAAAAATGCCATCCTCTCCACACCATTGGTGGGAGCATAGACATTTAAAAACACCATCTTCAACCTTTCAAACTGAGGTTTTACTTTTAATAAAACACCTGGAATGACTTCCTCCACCTTATAAGAAACAGGTAAAAACCTTCTGGAGAATAAAATCCCCACCCCCCCATTGCAACTGGATTTGTGGCTTAAAATGACCCCCCCATTAAAAGCCCTCCTCCAGTCACTCTCATTGTCAGCAGTACTGTGGGTCTCCTGTAAAAACATCACATCTACTCTCCTCAGCTCCATTAATTTAAAAATAGCCGCTCTCTTAAAATCAGCCCTAGCTCCATTTACATTTAAAGTGCTGATTTTAAAATCACACATGGATAAAAGAGAGACAACAATTAAAAGACCAATCCGTAAAAAAGAGCAGCACCAGATGCTTTTAACAGTCATCTTCATCAGTTATGATTTGTGCTTTCACTCTTAAAACCATTTTCTTTAACCTGTAAACCTCATGTTCTGTGAGCACATCATCACCTCCTCTACCAGACTTCCTGGTCAGAGGTTTGGCTGACTGGATGAAGAGTCTGAGGTCAGAGAAGTGGTCTCTGACCTCAGGCAGCCTGGCCCCTTTAGTTCTCTCCAGGAACGTTTTAATATCAGCAGGAGAGTAAAATGACTGAGAGTCCTGAGACTGGGAGGAGTCACACTCTGCTGACGCTTTGGTCATCCTCCTGGTTTTTATACTGTTTTGCACAGATTCAGGGTTCTTTCTTTTCTGTGACATTTTTAACATTTCCTCATCAGACATATCTTCATCGTTAATGATGTCATCATACATAGATGAGTTCACATTCATTGGTTCACTGTTAAGAGCAGATACACTTTCTTCAGCTGTCTCTGGCTGATTCTTATCGCTGTCAGTCAGACACATACCTGTCCTCTCTCTCCCCTCTCTGTCTTTCTCCACTTCTCCCTTCCGATTATAAAACGTTGTCATCGTCGTCGATTCGCCAATAAAGCAATCTGAAATCTGAAAATCTGAAATCTGAGGTGTTGTAGTAGCCTAGTACTAGTCTTTGAAGTTGACTGGAGAAAAGTTTTAGTGCGATGGGCGAAACCAACAGGTGCCGGGAGAGCGGGGGGAGGGCACAGGCGCCGGGCAGGGTTCTGTGACTGTGGTGAACCATGATTTACCTGACTGGTTGCCCCTTGGGCTCTGCCCCCTGGACACTTCCATGCCCCCGGGCATGTGCCCAGTTTGGCCGTATGATAATCCGCCCATGACACAAAAGCATTAGGACATCATTTCCAGTTATGGCCCTAAATTCTATGTGTCTAGGTTGTTCCCGTTCATGTTAAATTGAGATGAATGGATGGATGGATGGATGGATGGATAGATAGATAGATAGATAGATAGATAGATATAATATTTGGGAAATTTGACTTGCATCCCACAGTCATTAGGAGCAGCAACACAACACAACACAACACAACACAATACAAACAAAAAGCAACACATATCATCAAGCAACACAGCAACACATATCATCAAGCATAGTGCCAGCATCATAAACACAGTAGGGTTGTTTAGGTGAGTCCTACTGATTTAATGAATAGAAATTACATTTTCACACAGAGCTGAGGTGCTTGTTCAGGAGTGCAATACTAGTGGGGGCAAACGATGCGCTCGGGCTTGTAGACTAGGTACAGTAAACCGTCGTCCCAATCTCATAAGGTCATATTGATTGAACAGCGGATGCCTTACGTCTCCAGCGATAGCCTTCCCTTTTTTCAGGAACCGGGCCTCGTACAGTGACATCATGTTGTTAAGTTGCACCCCAGCTATCTTGCTGGAGACGTTAATGACCTTATGGAGTATAAGCATATGATGCTAAATAGGCCATGCCCACATGCACCAATCACTATGACACTTTAGATCTTAGTTAATACTTGCGCCCAGAGCATGTCCACCAAATGTGGGGAAATTTTGTTCACCTGTTTTGAGGTACACATTTCTGGTAATTGTGGCGCCTGAATTTCATATCTGTTGGACTTATGGTGTGAGGTGTGTGGCCTTTCTGAAATTGCATTTTTGGGTGTTTATAACAGAGTCAGTATGTGGCTGATTGAGTTCATGGTTCTTGGGAAGTATTTGCACATCATTTCCAGTTATTGGGCCAAGTTTGATGTTTTCAGCTCATTTTAGCTTGCATCAATTTGAGCCAAGGCGGCTGACAACAAATAATAATAATACAAACTCAATGGGATTCTGCCCCGCTAATAAACCCGAGGAACTATCAGCACAGCATACTTTAAGTATCAGAAGTAGAATTACTTATTATGAATATTAGCCCTCATTAGGGTTATTTTATTATGTTACATATAATATTGAACTTTCATTAAATAGCATTTCAGTATTGATTTTAACCTCTTTATACACTGTTTGCTATTTTAATTTCACTTCACGATATGTTTTTGATGAAAAATTGCTCTGAAATGTAACTAAACAATCTGATTAATGTGGTGCCGTGAAAAAGTACAATATTTACGCATGAAATGAGAGTAGAAGAAATGGAAATGGACATACCCAAGTAAAGTACAAGTAGCCTACCTCAAATATTAACAGACATACAGTACTTGGGAAATTATATGTATGCTGGGCCACCAGCAGTTGTTGTTAAGAGTAAAGATTGAGGTTATGTGACGAGATGATCTTTCTTCTCCACATTTAGCATACCATACACTTTGTAATGTTTTGAGAGTCATTTGGGTTCTCATTGATCTTGTAGAAACAGGCTGTGTTTTTCTATACCCCAACACCCCAGGAACCATTTCATTTAAAAATTAAAGTAAAAAGACACCAATTTATATACTGCCCATGGTGCTGATTGGTGTTAGGTTCTGGTAATGGATACTAAAATTGGATAAAAACAAAACTTTCTTATTTGTCTATATAATATGAAAATAAAATCGTCAGTCCCTGAATTGAACCCTCTGCTATTATCGTGATGTCCATCTCCCCTTTCTTGTTCTGTAGGGTTTAGATGGCCCTACGGGTGAAAAAGGGGCTACAGGGGCCCCTGGCCCTATTGGATTACCTGGCTCAATGGTATGCAGTGGTGCCCCTCGAGCTGCATCTTTCTGGATGCAGTGTATGACCTGGCAAACAGGGAACTGTAGAATATGTTTTATACTCACCCCATATGCTGTGTGAAAATGTGCTTGATTGCCTAATTTTTTACATTCTCTTAATATTTGTCTGACTGGGATATATATCGGCGACTTTGTAACCTTCTTTGTCTTTGCCATCTATTGTCACAGGGTCCTAAAGGTGAACCTGGAGTAGGAGGAAGGTCAGAAATGGTAAGGGTCAGTCATTAACCCACAGGTCAGATTGGCGCACTTAATGGTAAATTAGAGTACAACATGTTTTAGGAGCAATATTTTCTGAATTAAAACCTTTTGCTTGTGATTGTGTGTGTCTGTGTTTAGATATATGGCCCTCCAGGGCCCCCAGGACCTCCAGGACCAGTTGGCCCAGCAGTGAGTCAACATGCCATTTTGTGTACAGGGCCTTTAATGCAGAAATAATATTAATAAGACTAATATTACCTACCTGAATCCAAATTTTGCATACCAATGGAAAATTTTAAATATAGACAGGTGACAAAGACTACAGATAGGCAGTAATTCTTATTGGGTCCACCATAGTTTAGACAGTCCTAAGCACTATTCGCACGGGATTAGTATTACCTGAGGTAATTGTTCTGGACCCTTTTACAGAAGGTAAAAGTCGTGGTAATCTTTACTGACATCGTGCGGTAATGATTACTGACATGGCACATTTGGACGGGACTAAAATCTCTAGTAATTATTACTTTACCCCACGTACCTATGTAAAACTAATCCCGTCCGAATAGGGCTCTAGACATCTTCTTTTTGGCAGTGTTCACTGAGTTGCAATCCTTCTGATTTGCTCCTATTTATTTATTAACCTAATTTAAAATACCCCAATTATTTAGGTAATTGTAAATAATGATCATGCAACTAATGCAAGTGCAGTATAATATCGTCTCCATGGAAGAGAATTCTGAATTCTTTGTTATTCATAAAAACAAAAAACAATATCAGTTTCATTGATATTCCTTAGACTAAAATCTCTGGTAATTATTACTTTACCCCACGTACCTGTATAAAACTAATCCCGTCCGAATAGGGCTCTAGACATCTTCTTTTTGGCAGTGTTCACTGAGTTGCAATCCTTCTGATTTGCTCCTATTTATTTTTTATTCTTTTGTCAAATGAACCCTTCATTTGTACCTTTTCACAGATGTGTTTCAAAACTGTTTATAACACTTCATTGTCAATTCATATATTTCATAAGATAAATAACATTGAGCTTGATTAAATTTAATACAATAGACTAAAATAAAGGTGGATGCACTGACAACAATTGGGATATGGTACAGACTGTTCCATTAATCGGATTGTGTTTGCTCCATCCAGGGAGCTCAAGGATTTCCAGGGCCTAAGGTGAGATATTGTTCCTCTAAAATAACATCTACCACCTCCTCATTTTTTTTTTTATCTGCCTCCATGCACTATATGTTGTCTACATCTAAGCCATTCAATGCATGAATGTTTAAGGATGGGATTCTATTTTACCCTGTCTTTCAGGGAGAACCAGGCATAGGCATCAGAGGAGAAAAGGGAGCGACAGGTCAGAAGGGTGACAAAGGAGACAGAGGCCATCTTGGACTCCCTGTAAGTAAACCGTAATTACTTGTGCTATTCATAACTCTCAAATTCCTTTTTCCTCTGTCTTCTGTTTTTGCTCTACCTCATTAAGTTTTATTATTCCATTTTGACTATTTTAGGGGTTATATTACAGCTCCAGTACAACAATAGCCCCTTTTCCACCACAGGAACTTTTCTCATTTACCTGGGATTTTGAAAAACCCTGACGCATTTCCACCAAAATTACCCGGGGAAAAAACTTTCCCTCAACCCCAAACTTTCCCTGAAAAAAGTACCTACTGGAGGGTAGGACTTTTCAGATTACCCAGAATTCTTGAGGGGCGGGGCTGTTTGCTGAAGAACGCTGATTGGTGGAAAACACATTTGCAGTGTTCCGCACTTCCTGGCATGGGCAGCCGCTGCAAACTTAATTTCATTTCTACAAGCTTCACTTTGTTTGTGTTTTGATTAAGGATGGGTACCGAAAACTACTACTGGGGCTAAATTATCAAAGGCCGTAGTATTGATAAGCACTAACGGTATAGGTTCTTTTGTGCCGGCGCTGAACTCCTCCACACACATACACACACACACACACACACAAACACGCACACCTACATGACACGGTAACCAGTGAACAGCCGAGCGCCCCCAGTGGAAACTCGAAAATGACTTGTTGACGGCAGCTACACTCTTTACTGTAAGTGGCATTAAGCCTTGGCGAGTAAGAAACCAATACTTTATCAATACATGTGTTCAGCGAGCATGAACATGTAAACATGCAGACAGTAATATTCAATATGCTCCGTCCACAGTCTCTCATCCACCGACACTAATGTTATGTCTTACATGCTGATTTAGACACGCTAGTTCGGCTGATAGCAAATTGTTACTAAGCTCAAATGACAGCTGTTTGTATGTAGACTAACTTAGTTTGACACTTATCTTAAAATACTTTTAAACTAGCTGCTGGCTGAGACAAAAAGCCCCAACACTCTACACCAGCATGTAACCAGCTAAGCTGGCGGAGCCAAATACAGGGCACACACCATATCATCTACATCATCAGCCTGATTTGAATACATTTTCCGGAACTTTGAGGTGCAGTGGAAACGCAAACCACACCAGATTACCAATTCTTTTACCCAGGTAAATAAATTCCTGGTAATTAAAGGTCCTGGAAATGTTGGTGGAAAAGGGGCTAATATAATCATTATGCAGTATTAACCTTAAACACCTGTATTGCTTTAACTTTAGTTTAGGCATTTGTTACTGACTGATGTTTCATGTCGCACATGTTGCGTCTTTGTTGTCATAATCCTGTTAAAATGTTGCATGGACGGGAGGATTGTTTCAAAGGAAGTAAGTCACTTTAACATAACACCCATTTGACACTTTTAATGTCATTTAAACAATGTTAGGCTATTTTACATTTTCTTTCATACTCCTCAAATGGTGTCCATCACTTTGGCTTCTTTGTTCTTGGTTTACAGACATTCAAAATTTATTCATCTACAGTTGCTCTCATGCAAAAAAACTCATCTTGTTTGACCATATATTCACAAATTTGTAGAATAAGATGGACTCAGATGTACTTGTGATAGCCATATGTGCCACATTATTGCAGAAACTCCTACTTTTACTGTATGTCAAACTGTGGATCATTTTGATTGCTGTATTGTATTGTTACAATTATACATTACCATTTGAATAACACTGAGCAAAGATACTCTAACCAGCTGACCAGATGCCAAAACAGTATCAGCACAACTCAGTGAAATATACTGTAGCCAAGACAACTCAGTGCATTGTAATTTAACTAAAGTCATGCAAATAGACCACCAATGAAGAAAATCATCACTTCACCACTCTAACAGCACATGGTCAGCATTTAGAAAAAGAAATACTGGAAAGAAATAAAACAAGCAAAAAAACACATTGACCACTTTGACAAATACAGTGCTACACAGCTAGAATGGTGACACAAAGTATAGCACTGAAAAAAAATGGCATGGGAAGAAATACTTCTACTGAGAAAGGAGACCATGGCATTGAAACACAAAATCTCTTGGCCCCAAAAATTTTACTGAGAAACTGGTTAAAAACCATTTTTAATTAACATTATGCTGGTCCGGCATAGGTTCACTAGAGCAAGTGTTAAATTTAGCTAACATCAGCTATGATAGCTAACATTAGGTTCTATATGAAAAAACAGCGACCGAGAAAAGCAGATTTACCATAGCCCTACTTGCAGTTTGGGAGTTTCAGGTGAACTCTTAAAAGCTAAAGCTGAAGATGAATGGTAATGCCAGAGGCTTAATGCACAATAGCATACTCTTTGCTGTGGTCGAGCCAGCTGTTATATTGGATTTTTATGAGCATCTATTCAAGCATTTATGGTATCGGGGCCCAGAGCAGCCAAAGCGAACAATATATATATATATATATATATATATATATATATGTAGTCATAATAGTTCTTTCAGCTATTCATAACAGTTTTGTTGAGAAGCGCAATGGAATTCTTGTTTCTCTCCAGATTTTGGTGATCAAAGGTCATGGTTACTGTGCCCTTGCATTAATCTCATTCTCATATCTCAGGAACACCTTGAGGATTTTTTTTTTTTTTTTCAAATTTAGCACAAATGTTCACTTGCACTCAACAATGAATTGATTAGAATTTGGAGCTCAAAGGTCAAAGTCACTTTACCCTTCTGTGCGTCTCATTCTTTTGAACGTGATATCTCAAGAAGGCCTTGAAGGAGTTTCCTCAAATTTGGCACAAACGTCAACTTGGACTTAAGAATGAACTCATTAGAATTTGGTGGTTGAAGGTCAAAGATCAAGGTCACTATGACCTAACAAACATGTTTTCGATCATAGCTCAAGAAATCATACTCTTAATTATGGCAAAATTTCACACAAATGTCTGAAGTAATAACATTTTATATTCAAAAGGTCAAAGGTCAGCTTCACTGTGACATCATTATGTTCTGCATAAAACACTTTTCTGGCCATTACTCAACGTCATATATCATAACATACATATATCATAACAGAAGGGGAGACATTTGGTCAGATGCTAAATTGGTGACACTAATCTTTGGCGTCCACCTTGAAACTGTGCTGACGGTATAGATCTTCTGTGCTGTCGGGGGGGTGCTTTATTTGTGAAGCATCCACGTTTTCAAAGAAATGGATGTAAAGTGTAAGAGAAACTTGACTGGTTTGTCAAGTTTTTTTTCAATCCAAAATTTACTGTTCTAGCTCCATTCAGGGCATACAGAAACACGCTGCAGGATCAAACAAAAGAAATTTACAAAAATGCCATGGACAGAACAGAATAGATTTTTAGGGGGGGCATCAAGTGGCAACCTCTTGGGCTCAAAAATAAAGCCAACACATTAGGAACAACTGCAGTTTCTCAAATGGTCACTTGAGGCTGCTTTCAGAAGTTTATTTTATTTTACCTTTATTTAACCAGGTTAGTCAGTTGAGAACAGTTTCTCATTTACAGTGACGAGCTGGGCAAGAGGCAGCACAGAGAGTCAGACACATTCAATCACAGTGAAACAATCAATCGGACACAGTATATAAAAAACACACAACACATAACGTATGTGTTGTGTAAAGTAGAAGTGGGTCAATCCCCACAGACCCCATGTTTACAGTAGAAATAAACATGTCTAGAGCCTGGTGCGAGTCAGTGCTGTCTGTCTGTGCTCTTTAAACAGAGTGTTATTTAACCTGTGTCCATCTGTGACATATTTATGTCATTCATGTGATGTAATTACCACACATGTATTTGTTTTAACCCAAAACCTTACCACAAGTGTTTAAAGACTTTAGAGAAGTCAAAAAGTATTAAGAGCCACGCTAACATGTTGACTGTGAACGTAAAATCAGTCAGAGTATAGAGCATGACTGTTAGCCACAACATGGTCATAGACTTTATTTAATACTCCACCATGACAAGTAAAAGAAATTACTCACAATTACTGTCGCTCACTTTACCTCCACCTCTTCCATCACCCTTCATTTGTCATCATCTGAATGTGTTGTTGAAATCACTTTAGTCACAGCTTCACTCACCCACCCCACCTTCCCATCCCAAACCCCACCCCACCCTACGTTCCTCCCACCATCTCTCTATCATCTCTGCTCTCTAACTGTGTACAACGCTATACAGGGGGCTCATGGGTTAGACGGCAGACCGGGTCCAGTGGTGAGTGGTGCAAGTCCTGTTCCGGTCCCCTCACCCTTTTCCTCCTCCTCCTTCTCCTCCTCCACCACCCCCCGCTACAGCTTGCTTGATGTCTGCCATGTCTGCTCGTCATGTCTGCTTGCTTTCTTGCCTCCCATGCTCGTAATGTTTCTGTTTTTTCCTAGAGTAGCTCTGTGAGGACAGAACTGTTCAGGGTTGGGTTCTGAGGATGCACTGACATAAGCAACGTACTTTGATGGCAAACAAGGCAACTCTAAACAGTATATATCACATGCAGTTTAGTGAGAAAAACTGTGTTTTAAAATGTTTTAAACTTTCAAATACATAGATCAGTAATGGCCTCAAAAACTCAATACTAGTCAGGCTATGCATTGATTAATAGGCTTAACCAATAAAAAAAATACTGTAAATTCTTAGCTGTAGAGAGAACCAGACCTTGATTAAAAGCAGGCTTATAATAGAGACCTGCCTTTACTTACTTTAATTTTACATTAAAAGCCTTTTAGTGGCTTAAATGGGCTTAGTACTATGCTAAGGGTAGGCTGTGAAAAAGCTGCATATAAATCTGATGTAATCTTTTATTTCAAGTATCAACATTTTAGCACACTGTTTTTTTTGTGTTGAACTTCAACTGTCATGTTGAAAGTGTGTCAAATCAGAGCTGTAAGAGAAACAGACTTTAAGTATATATGATTAGAATCTCAAAAGAGTGAATTCATAACCGGCAAGGCCTACAATAACAATGAGCACGTTTACATGCACACTAATAAACCGATCATTATCTGATTTCTGGAGTTACCTGATTATTCAAGTGGTCATGTAAACAGCATAATCCAATAGGCTTTATCAGATAAAAGCCATTATCTGATTATGAGAAATCAGATAAACACACCTAGCTTTTTCCCCAATAGTCAGATTATTCGGTGCATGTATACCCTTTAATCTGGTTTCTTTCGGGTTTTGCTATTTTATACTCCCACTCCACTACATTTTAGAGGGAAATATTGTACTTTCTACTCCACTACGTTAATCTGACAGTTTTTGTTTCCTTTCAGATAAAGATTTTACATAAAATAATATATTTTTATATTCGCAGTGTTTAAATTGTCACTTTTATTTTATCTTACTTATATGTTATGCACTTTGTGTGACAAATTTATAGACAATACACTTGTATATTGCACTTTGCAGTACTTTTACTCCGAATCTACCCAAAGTATGTAAAATTGGTTCCACATTGATAAACTACACATTAGAATGCTCTCACATGTATTTGTTAATGATAAAAACAAACAGTACTGTAAGAATATAAGCTGTCAGCATGATGAGTGCTTTATTTTGCAAATATATGACTTGCGTACTTTTCGAGGTTTTTCAAGGACATGAGTACCTACTGTAACAGGAAGTTTGAGTTTTATGTCATGTACTTGAGGAGAAATCCAACTGTAGGACTGAATCATGTAAACCAGGTTTTTCTGATTGTAAGATTATTGAAGTGCACGTAAACGCGTCAAATCGGATTATTACCATTACCTGATTATTCCCAGTTATCTGATTATTGTGCGCATGTAACCGTGCTCAATGTCTCCACATACTGAATCTATGAAACAACAAGAACAAACCAAGGGAATAAAGGGTAAAAATCGATGTACAAAGGCTTTTAATGTGAAACACTTGTCAAGTTGTGGGTTTAATTGAAAATACACAAATCAAAGGAATAGAAGAGATTCAATTTATTTAATAAGTGTATTTGTGATAAAAACAGAAACTCAGAGTCATGAACTATAACATGACTCTTTTATTGTGCTCAGAACAACCACATCTGCTCTTGATATGTAGAGTTACTTTACTTCAGGCTCAAATTGTTCTAAAATCATTCCATTATCTTCCACCACTAAAGTGGAGCATTGCCAAGTGCTGCTTTGAATTTCCAGCTTGCTTGATATTGCTACAACAGTGGAAATCCTCAGTCCTCAATCCTGTTTCAAGGGTTTCCTGCCTCATAATCCTGTATCAGCAATGGGCAGCAAAGTTGGCAATGCAAAAAACTGTCCAAAAAGAGCATGCAGAGATGCCCGCACTGCATGTTGACATGTTATACAGTACATTTGGACAGCTGTATTCTATACACTATGCATACTAGATATGCCTGAGATGCAAAGGTTTCCTCTCCAATCCCGACTGCTACTCAGACAGACAACTGCAGCTGTTGAAATTTTACTCATTTTCCCTTGTTTTTAACAGTTTGAACAGTAGCTCAACAAGCTTGGTGTGCCATGCTACAGGTGTCAGGACAGTGAATTATATTAACCACTTTTTCTCTTTCCAGATTTTTCCGGTAAAAAATTGATCCAAATGGTCCATTATCTTTGTGACATCTATTCACTTCCACCTGAAAGCTTGTTGATTTACTGATTTGAGGCATTTAATGATGATATTTTCACTGGCACTAAATTGTGTGTATCTGCTAACAGGTATTTATTTTCCCTTTTCTGTTTCACAGGGTCTAATAGGACCATCAGGTGTACCAGGGCCAGCAGGACCAAAGGGAGAGAGAGTGAGTATCTTTGTGTTTATATTTTGTTTTTTTTTTCTTTTAAAATAAATACGTAGTTTTAGGAGAATATAATCTTTGGATTTTCTCTCATTACTTCAGGGTGAAAAGGGAGATGTAGGATTACCAGGACCAATTGGGCCTCAAGGCATCCCTGTAAGTATATAATTCAATTTTATATATTGATTACAACAAGGAACATCTCTTAGCTCACTAAAACTGCATGTATATAACAACAGAAAACCTTTTTATTAGACTTTTGACAGTCTGACATAATGAAAGGTGGATACCAATACTGATGTAGCCAGAGCTGAGGCTGTAATGTGGCCAAATTATGTGTCCAAGTCCCACAAATTAATTGAAATAATAATTTGAATATAAAATTTAAATACATTTAAATAAACGTTTTATCAAAATGAAATAAAAATTAAAACCGCAAGGGTCATTGAGCAGGGTCCAAATGAATTGCAAAGATTTAGATTCTTTTTATTTCATTGATAAAAAGCAAACCTCCTGAAGTTCTTAAGATTATTTATAGTGGTCATCACTTTATGGTGATTCTGTGTTGACGTATATAAATACTACTACTACTACTTCCAGAAACATTTGATGTAGCTTATGACCTTCAGTGAAGACACGTTTCACATAACTTTATTTGTAATGAATTTTTATTTCATTCAAGATCTGGAATGCATCCTATGTCCAGTAATTTATAGTCAAATACTGCTACTATGTGAAGAGTGTCAAAACTTATCCTGAAAAAGATTCTCACCATGTACAGGTATTAAAGCACATCAGCTTTTTATGGTGGCTGACAAGGACAAACGCGATGCAAATACAGAAACGCACTGCAAATAGAGAAACGCACTGCATATAAGAAAACAAATGCAAAGGGAAAATGCTGCAAATACAGAAACGTGGTGCATATACAGAAACGCACTGCAAATAGAGAAACGCGCTGCATATGAGAAAACAACTGCAATGGGAAAATGCTGCATATACAGAAACGTGCTGCATATACTGAAACGCGCTGCAAATAAGAAAACAGATGCAAGAAGAAAACGCTGCATAGCCACTCATACAACGGAAGTGCTCCAGGCCTCTAGGGGCAGTGCTGAGCTTCCACCCGAGAGACAGACAATGGACGTATCAACATATGGAGCAGACGAGTGAGTGAGAAGAAGAAAGTTATGTTTGGAGGAAAGTTGGACCCGGGACAGGCAACACAAAAAGGTACGTATTCTTTTTTATTTTTCTTTCTTTCTTGTTTTTCACGTGTGGCCCTCATCTTTTACTGTATAATGAAAGTGAAGCTGATTTACACAGAAGAATGTCAAACAAAAGAATGTCTTTCTCTCCCTCTCTTTTATTTCCCTAAATTTAAGAAAGGACTCTACACCAGACCTTGCTGCTACATGGAAAATAAGAAAAGACAGGAATGAGACATTAATTACTCTTTTATTTATTCATTACTCCTTTATTAACTCTTTTTAAAGGGGACTTATCATGCATTGCATTGCATTGCATGCATGCATTTTCCCTCATCACATATATATAATATACGTGTATAATGTATATAATGTTAAAATATCGGCTGCTCATATTATATATGGCCAAAGTTTCAAATAATGGGGTAAACATACGTAGAAGTAATCCCTGTGAGTAGAAAGCACAAGCCTCAGACTGCTCTGAATGCAAGCTGATGTCATCTCACGAGTCGACATATTACATATTTCATATGCTCACAAGCACGTGGTTTCTATCGTTTGTTTCCATTGCTCCAGAAGCAAAGGAGCAGGACAGAGTGGGCTCAGTGGGATCTAAATAGCTTTTGTGGCTTAAACAGTTTCAGAAAAAGGCTGAACTCAGGGGCTGCATAAAGGTACAGTACAAGAAAAAAAAGTTTTTTTTAAGACTAAGATTCATGCAAAGCTCTTGTGGAGTCTGAGGATAAAACTGTAAAATGAGAAGATCCCCTTTAAGCTCACTAAAGGTCTCATCATTGATCTTTGCAAGTCATTTTGAAACACATTTAACATGCTTGTAACTGAATTAGGCAAGCAAGATAGTACGGAGATCCATTTAAGTACAAGAACACAATCTGAACTCTTAAACAGTCTTCTTATTTTTTCTGCACTGCAACTACAGATCTTTGTACCTGCACAGGTGCTTGGCTGTGCATTAGGATGTGCACTGGTGGTGGGCATCTCCTCTGGTGGGTTGTTTGGGAACTGCCCATTGGTTCGACAGCCCATTGGTTCGACATCCCATTGTTCCAACCATATTAAACTCATTGTTCCGAAGTCCGTTCCGAAATCATCATGATGCCCTGTGGTTAAGGTCTGGTTAGGTTTAGGCACAAAAACCACTTGGTTAGGGTCAGGAAAAGATCATGGTGTGGGTTAAAATGAAAAAGAAAGTGGCAAACACATAAGCCGTGAGCCTGCTCTGCCTCAAGCCGGTCGCGGCGCACCATATGCCCGCCGTGAGCCGTTCAGCACCGCGGACAATCGGACTAATGGGATGTCGAACCAATGGGCTGTCGAACCAATGACATGGACCCGGTTGTTTGCCACATCTTTTAGAAATTTAATGTTTTTGCCGCACACACAACAAAAGCCTGGGGAAGTTGTCACGGTAGAGCCACAGCACAGACAGTAACGTTACATCTATTGGGGAAAAAAGAGGAGAGTTTGCAAGGTCGGCGAGATTATGTCAAATACAGTGGATAGTTAGTTTTCCTAAATATTTAAACAATATTATTATCTGATTATTATCTTCACGGCTTAACTTCTTTTTGCCCTCTGCACCTCTGCCCTTTACATTTCTTTTTATACACCTTCTCTGCTCTCCTTTCACCTTTCTCCACCTTCCTCTCATTCAAAAGCCCGTCACTGATCAATGAAGTATCCAATCACATGTGGAGACGAGGTTGAAAATAAACTAACGTTAAATGCAATTAAATCCCTGGGGTGTCCCGGAAGGTAACGTTAGTTACAGTAACGGTAGCTAACATTACAACTACTGATACACTACTCATGTAGAACTCAAAGTCTCTAGCATGCTAACGTCAGCTGTGTAAATCAGCTTCACTTTAATTATACAGTGAAAGATGAGGGCCACATGTGAAAAACAAGAAAGAAAGAAAAATAAAAAAAAGAATACGTACCTTTTTGTGTTGCCTGTCCCAGCTCCAACTTTCCTCCAAACATAGCTTCTTCTCACTCACTCATCTGCTCCATATGTTGATACGTCCGATGTCTGTCTTTCGAGTGGAAGCTCAGCACTGCCCCTAGAGGCCTGGAGCGCTTCCGTTGTATGAGTGGCTATGCAGTGTTTTCTTTTTGCATTTGTTTTCTTATTTGCAGCGCATTTCAGTATATGCAGCACGTTTCTGTAAATGTAGCGTTTTCCCGTTGCAGTTGTTTTCTCATATGCAGCGCGTTTCTCTATTTGCAGTGCGTTTCTGTATATGCAGCACGTTTCTGTATTTGCAGCATTTTCCCTTTGCATTTGTTTTCTTATATGCAGTGCGTTTCTCTATTTGCAGCACATTTCTGTATATGCAGTGTTTACCCATTGCATTTGTTTTCTCATATGCAGAACGTTTCTCTATTTGCAGTGCGTTTCTGTATATGCAGCACGTTTCTGTATTTGCAGCATTTTCCCTTTGCATTTGTTTTCTTATTTGCAGCATGTTTCAGTATATGCAGCACGTTTCTATATATGCAGCGTTTACCCATTGCATTTGTTTTCTCATATGCAGCGCGTTTCTCTATTTGCAGTGCGTTTCTGTATATGCAGCGTTTACCCATTGCATTTGTTTTCTCATATGCAGCGCGTTTCTCTATTTGCAGTGCGTTTCTGTATATGCAGCACATTTCTGTATTTGCAGGATTTTCCCTTTGCATTTGTTTTCTTATATGCAGTGCGTTTCTGTATTTGCATCACGTTTGTCCTTGTCGGCCACCGTAGCTTTTAACACTCAACAACTGAATAAATCTCCACAGTACTGTGAATGTAAAAGAATGAAAAATACCTCGGGACACGCCCATGCCTTTTGGCCTTTTGGATCATATCTATGCCTTTTGGCCTGATGAATTATGAACTGAATGAAGTTCTGTTTATTTGAGTTGAAGAATGTCTCTCTTATTATTTTACACATATTGGATATTGAGATGTGTCTCAGGAGCTTGGAAATCTGAGTTTGGTAACTGAATTATTAGCACAGGTTATGGCATGTCAACTTTAAAACCACAGAAATTCACAACAAATGAGAAGAAACAGGAGGATACACACACCTTGTGTACATCTACCCAGGTGCAGGTAGTTCCCTGACAACCTCTCAAACCCTGTCCACTAGCTCCAGGGCTAGAGAGTCAAACCAGCCTCATAAGCAGAAGGCAGAGAGAGGGACATCGCAAAACCTAAAAATATTAACAAATATTTAACTGTTGAGGATACAAATCTGAAAAAAACATGGAACAACTTTCTTTTCTGGGGTGTATTGTCAAAAATATTGGTGAGCTTTGTTCAAAAGCTGTAGTTAGTTTTGTAAACAAACAATACAGTTTCAGTTACTTGTTTTTTTAAACCCTCGTTTTTATTTTCTATTTCTTTCAATTAAAATGTTTTTATTTTATTTTTTTATTCTAGTTTTAGCTATTTCCTTCTTTTTCCTTAACTATAATAACCTTGGTTATCAGAGGTTATAAACATCATAGCTGTAAATCAGAACATCCCTGCCACACCTACTATTAGGTTTAAAAGGCCATAATAAGGCCATAAGACCAGGGATGGTGTTGCATGGGAAACCAGGGAACTCAGCATTCACTTAGTTTAACCAGAGATGGTTGTTGTAACTTCCATACCATGAGATCTTTTTTTCTTAAATTTTAGCACAGTTTTTGCACCTAAACCTAATGAAAGTGAAAGCAAAGCCTAACAAAACTGCCACTTTGCTAAGCAAAGCCTAACAAAACTGCCACCATTTTACAATGTTGGATATGCAAATGATAATTTAATGGGCTGATGGCAGTCTTTGATTCTGGCATGCCCCTTCTAACTCATACCTATAAAACTAAAAGTAACAGATAACACAGATAATAGCCATTTAATAGGGTGATAACATTTGAAAGGGGTGAGTGAGGCGTTGT